GGGTCATCTCCAGTCAAGTGAGCTCCAGTCAGCACAGGGGACATTTGCAGATGGGAAGGAGGAATTGCCCTGACTCCACTGCTGCCTGCAGGGCTGTATCTGTGCTCCACACAGGAGATGAGATAGAACAATTGGTCTGGAACCTGCTCTAGCTGGGACCAGCCACATCTCTTCAGGCAGAGTTTGAGCAGCACAGGTGAGTGTGCTGACCTGCCAGAAGGAATTCCTGCCCACACAAAGGGGATGGAAAGAAGCACACGCTCATGCTTCACATTTGTTTAACTTGGCTCCAGTGGCACAGCCAGGCAAGATCTGGACTGTCCCTGAAAGAACACACAGTCCATCCCCTGTTGCATCATGACAGCCCCTGCCAACAGGGGCACAGCACAAAGAGGTGGGGAGGGGCCTGTAGCTCCACAGTGCTGATGGACAACGGGAGGGGCAGGGAGAGCAGGGACACAGAGAATTTCCAGCCTTAACACAGTTGCCACCCAGCCACAGTGGGTACCTACCATTACAGGTTTCTCTGCCTCTCTGGCCAGCTTTGGAATATGAGATTTCACCTCTGTGCCCTGGAATCCAGAAGCCATCCTGGAGGATGCCATGGGTGGATGAGTCGTGCCAGTGGCCGTGTCTCAGCTCACCTGGAAGGAGCAACAGTGGAACTCTGGAAATCCAGAATCCCGTTCATGGCAGACCCAAAGGACACACTGGTGTCTCCAGGCTGTGGCATCCCTCAGAACTAGAGATCACAAGGCCTTCCCACCCTGATTCATCATTAAACTGTATTTAAGTGACTGAGTTAAGATTCACAGATGTAAAACCCCAGAATAAACAGTCCCTGAGCCAAAACAGCCTTTTGCTGTGGGTGCAAATGAGCCACAAAACACAGCTGATGGCATTTCTTACCTCGCCCCCTGATGCCTTAAGATTCTTCTAGCTTTTTGTTTTTCTAATTTTTATAAGTAGTTATATAAGTAGAAGTAGATTTTAGAAGCAGCAGCCCTTATTCCTTTACTCTTTAGCACAGTAGTTTACACATTCCTCAACCCTCTAACCCCATTCTATGTTCCTCATATCAATTCTACCCCTCAATTCCAGTAGAAAATGTTTTGTCTTTTGTCAAGGCAAGGCCTATGCTGTTTAGAGAACGCTCATATCTTGGCCTGAACCACAGAACACGGTCAGAAACTAGGTGACCATGTACCCTTTGTGCTCTGAAGAAGATGAAGATGATGAAGAAAAGCCCCTAGACCCAATTCCCAGGGGGTGGGCCAGGGGGTGGACCAGAGCAAAAGGTACGGGATGGACAAAACTTGGATTGATCGGGCAGTATTATAAATTGTAACATCTCAGGCACGGAAGGGACGCGCGTGTCGTGTAATCTCTGTGCCTCAGAGGCACAAATTAAAACCCTTTCCTTATCTCACCTCCAAAACTAATTTGCCTCGGAGTTTTTTTCTCCCTGCATTTTCTTTAGGCAACAGCTGGTGGCCTGTACGGAGAAAGCAGAGACCTGAGGCTGCTCCAGACGGGAAACTTTCATCCTGCGGGAATTCTTCATCAGCCGGCAATTTTGGAGAATTCCCACAGTGATCTCGGGAAGCCCCAGCTCCACAGAACACCACGAGGAGCGCAAGGAGGTGAGGTAAGAGAAAATGGAAATAAGGGATAGAGGTATCTTTTTGTTAGCAGCTGTGAAAGTTTTTGTGTTTCCCGGGAAGTTTGGAGGCAGTTGGACTGCCTAAATTCTGAAACAGAGCAGTTTTGTTTCTCGGCCGAAGAAGAGCCCAGAAGGCCAAAAACCGGGAAAGATACTTTTTGCCGCAGTGAGAAGGGAAATTCAGAAGGGAAGCTTGCCTAAAACATGCTCTGGCCCAGTCCCTGAAGGCTGAGCAACCAGCACTGTCCTATGGACTGGCCGGCCACCGCTGTGGCCGTTAAACTGTGTTAGCTGTTAAACTGGCTAACATGAAAAGGGGGGGGAAGAAGAGCTACCTACATTGGTCCCTGTGTGCTCTAAGCCTGTTTCAGGCTCACAGCCTGTGAATATTCCTGCCTTCTGTGCCCTGATTAAGCTCGGGGGGGCTGTGGCAAAATCAAAAGGGGGCCACTGTTTTGCTTTCAATGTGAACTAACAGTGTGTCAGAAGATGACTGTTTGCAGAAAGTCCATTTCAGCAGACAGACTTGGAAACTGTGCCACCAGAACTCAAAGTGATATCGATGGAAACAGCTTTTGTGCAGAAGTGAACGAATGTCTTAACAACTGCAAATGAAATACACCAAGACAGAGTTTTGGACTGCAATAAAATCCCTGAAATGGGTCAAGAGTGAGTAAACAAAAGACTAACATAAAAGCTTCTGATACAATGAAGAACTGTTGTAAGATCAACCTGTAACTTCTAAAAGTGGTACATATATATGTGCTATGATTATTGTATCTGTTTTGTTATTTTCTATTCTATTTTACCATGCAGTAGGAATTACTAACCAAAACTCTATTAATATCCAAACTGTCCTTTATTACTCTTTACAAGTTTTTTGGTAGTAACAGGAGGAAAGCAAATGTCACTTGGCTGCCTCATTTTGCAAGAGCAGCTGACCTGACGTGACTTTGTGCCTGGTTAAACAACCCCAGCTCCCTCAGCCACTCCTCATAAGACTTGTGAGGAGGCCAAGGACGGGTAATTTCCTTTACCTGAGGACAGGTAGTTCCCACTTCTCCTTGAGGATTCACTTGCTGTAGCATCCAGTCTTGCCTGAACCACCATAGGCTACTTGGAGGCTGTGGATAACCTGGAAAACCATAAGCCAGCCGAGGACCTGCTGGTGTGACTGTGCTCACATCAAGGCAACGATCAATCATTGTCTCCATGTTGGTGGTTTCACAGAAATCAGTGGAACCAGGAGACAATGGAGGGAACATGGAACGGGGGTGGAACCAGATCTGTGCGTGGATGGAGCCTGGGCAGTGAGTGGGCAGAGCCCAGCCCTTCCTCTCCTCAGGTGTTACAGACCATCCAGGCAGAGCTTGAGGATTTGACCCGGACCTTGAGGCAGGAGAGAGCTCAGAGCTTGCCACTGGCCAAAGCCCATACGTGTCTGCTCCTGAGCTCCTGTTCTGCTGAAGGAAGTGTGAGTCAGTGTCAGTGCTGGAACACCCCGACCTTCACAGTGTGCACCTGCTCATGTATGTGGTAAAAAGAAATAGCCAGTGGTGTCCCTCTGAGGGGATGAGGGAGGACGAGCCTTCGCTGCGTGGGCCAGTTGCAGAGAAGTCAGCGCTTGGGTTTCTCTACAGAAAAAGGCAAATCCTCTCAGTGCCTCTTGGCAGCTCCTGCTGCTTCTCTGCACTGTATTTAATATTGGTTTTATATGAAATGTTGTAATACATACTCTGGAGAAGCAAGGACTGCGAGGTGACTGAGGAGGGGCCAGGACATCCACCACGTGGGATGGTGGCACGCGGTCTTGGTAACACATCCCACCTCAAGCTGCTGCCACTGGAACCCCCTCAGCACCTGCTGAGCCCCAGAGGGTGCCCCGAGGCTGCTGGTTATGAGCTTCCCAGGGGCTTGGCTTAACCCTTTCCCAGAAATGGCTTTCCCTTGAAATACTTTAGCTGACAACTTGGAGAAGCCTGCCTGCAGCTTCCTGCCCTGCCAGCCCTGGGATACAGCTTGGAAGAGCTGTTCTGGGAAGAACCTGTTGCTGCAAAAGCAAGGTGGGAGAGCAGCCAGATGAGGGCGAAGTGAAAGGGGGGGAGGATGGTGGAAAAGGAAAATAAGTAACATCCAGAGCGACACAAACAACCAGCAGAGAAAGTTCTTTTTTTAACTTTTCGGTCAGCCCATTGTCCTGCGGTGAAAGTCCCGGCGCCCTCGGAGCAGGGATGTTTATCTGTGTCCTGCATCTCAGCGGGCAGGAAATGATACAGCAGTGCTGAACTCATCTCCTCGTGGCCTCTCCAGGTGTGGGTGCAGCTCCTGCTTGGGATCTGCAGGAGCCTGGTTGCTCCACGGGCTGGGCTTGTCCTGGTGGTCCCTCTCCAGCGCTGCGGGAGAACCCCAGCCCCTGGAGGTGTCCAGGATGCAGAGGGAGGTCAGTGTTTGGGAGCCCTGTTCACCCATACCAGCTCCTAGTTACCAGCACCCTGCTAAGGTGCTACGGGAACACTTAAGCAGGACAGAGGAGTTTGCTCATTAACTCCAGGATGGAAGCAGCAATTTTTAGCCGAGGAAGCAATAACTGCCACACGATGGCATCCTCTGCTGCAGCAAGAGGCAGAGGCCCTTCCAGCTCAGGAAACTCCGCAGGAGCCTTCCCTGGGGGCAGAGGGTGGTGTGAGCTCCCTGGGGAGAGTAGGACCCTTTCATAGGGCAGGAAAGGACACGTGTCCCTTCCGCATGGCCCCTGTCACCTTAGGGCTGGCAGGGCAGTGAAGGGCCATTCCTGCAGGCCAGGCTTGGGTGGGTTTTTTCCTTATCAGCCATCCGGTGGGTGCCCGGGGGAAGCGGCGCATCCTCTGCTGATGGGGGTCTTTCCTCTCAGCGGATGCCTGTCGGAGGTGGCCGGGGGGCTCACAGGGGTCAGCTGCACCACTGCCTTGCACCTCTCCCAGAGGCAGCCTTTGCTCCACCCCCTCCCTTCTGTCACAGCTCGGGGGGTCCTCGAGGGGTCCTGCTGCCTGCAGTCGGGTTGGTCCCTAAATTTCATCCCAGTGGCCTGGAGCAGGTGAACCTGCAGCTCTCTGGAGCTGTGGGCTGGGGTTGGACAGGGAGGATGTCCCTGAGGAGGACTCTGGGCTGTGGTCCAGGTCAGTGAGAAGGGACTTGGGCACATCAGCTCTTCGTACAGACAGTTTGTTTTGTTTTGGCACACAGGTGTGAACAGGACTGCCTTCACTCACAGCCCTGGTTTGAGATCAGCTCTGTCCTGGTGGGAAGTTGTTCCCCAAACAACATTTGAAATCCAAGACATGTCTCATCTCTGCTTTCTTCAGTTCTCCTGTGCTATCTCCTCAGGTTGATATGAGGAACCATAGCCCAGGGTAGGAATCTCTCTTACTCTTATCCCCAGCACCTTCTTTTCTAATTATTCCCAGCCAACACAAAACTGCTAAGGACTGGCATCTGTAGCCTGTTGTTCTTTTAGGAGATAAGACAGCTGCATTGATCCTGAAAACACACACCACAGCAAAAACAGCAGGGCAGGAGCCTAAGAAGCTCTTGCACCAAGTGGTGGGGCAGGTGTGATGCTGCCATGGTCCCAGAAGGAAAGCTTGGGGGGCCAGGATGACTCTGGTCATCTAAATACACAGCTGTGGGAGCAGGTTACTTGTGGAGTTTTAGCTGAAACCCACAGGAGTCTGGAGGCTCTAGGCAGAGGAGAAGGATGCACTTTGTTCTTACAAGGGTGCAGAGAAGCTGGGGTTGGGAGGGAAGGGGTCCAGTGACTCCCTGGTCTCTTAGCTGATCCAGCAAGGCTTCAAAAGAGTTAAGTGCCTGAGCAGGGAACTGTGTGCCTGGCTTTGTTTTCCTGCCCAGCCCTTGTGTGTTTATTGTGCTGCTTGGAGTAAAGGCTCCTTGGGTGTTGAAAGCCCTGGAGGCTCTGATGTCCCCTTCTAAAGGAAACTTGCTGTGATGGAAGGGCTCACCTCAGACCTTGGCCCCAGCACAGTCACAGAGATTTTCTGCATCTCTCCTTCACCCACCTTAATGACAAGCTCATGTCAAAGGTGCACAGCCTTCTCTTGCCTGGGGGAGATGGGAAGAGGTGAGGCTTCCTGAGAACAGGCAATGAATAGAGCTGCTTCTGGTAAGCACCTTTCTTAGGAACTGTCAGCAAGCGTGTGCAGACACATCCATAGGATGGAGGAGTGGGAAGGGGACACTGGAGAGGTGGTGATGGTGCAGGCCCATGCACGCTGTGGGATGGGGCCACAGGGATGGGGCATCCACAGCTTCTCTGGGTAACCTGTGCCAGGGTGTCACCACCCTCACAAGGAAGAATTTCTTCTGAATATCTAATCTAAACCTGCCCTCTGTCAGTTTGAAGCCATTTCCCCTTGTCCTGTCACTCCATGCCCTTGTCAAAAGTCCCTCTCCTGCTCTCTTGTAGTCCCACTGGTGCTGGAAGGGGCTCTAAGGTCTCCCCTGACCCTTCTCTTCTCCAGGCTGAACAATCCCAGCTCTTCCAGCCTGTCTCCACAGCAGAGCTGCTCCAGCCCTCAGAGCATCTTTGTGGTATCCGGACTCTCTCCAGCAGCATCATGTCCCTCTTATGCTCGGGGCCCCCAGAGCTGGATGCAGGATCATGTGTCTCTCCACCATGCCAGTTCATGGAACTGTGGCCTTCGGGGCCTGCACAAGGATTGCGACACCAGGATGTCTTCCCATTGCAGCACAAGGACTCAGCAGGAGCCAAGGGCTCCGAGTGTTCAGTGAAGTCCACTGTGGCAGAGGCCCAGCACGCTCCTTCCCCTCGGCTGAACACCTGCCAAGGTTCCACCTGTGCCATCCGGACACACCTCCCCACAAGAGCCTTTCCCAGCCCTTTCCCTAGGGAAGAGGTTGCTCCCAGTGGCTGTGTCGCTCTGCAGGGTCGAGCAGCTCTTCTCTGTTTAGAAAGAACTTGACCATGTTGCAGACTGAACAGCTCAATGTTTGTTTCTTTGCACACAGTATTTTCAAACAACTTCAAACTTGTTTATTGCAGCAGCCAGTGAAGCCCTTGGCAGCCTCCATGGGGCAGGACCAGAAGGAGTCCTCAGTCCTGGCCGAGTCCCTGCACCTTTCCCTACAATGTCCTGCTGGGATCAGCCAACAGTTTGCAGCTCAGGTGTGATGCTGCCAGGGGAAGAGCTGTGTCCCACAGCCTGGCTGCCTTGGGAATGCTGACTGATATAGCTGTGGGCTACTTCACTGTGGAAAGTACAGAATACCAGTGTTCTGCTTTGTCTGCTGGAGCCCAAATTTGCCCTTATTCATAGTGAAGGAGGAAGACATTATGTTCAGAGAAGTGAAAGCCAGTGTCATGTTAGCTGCTATTTTTGAAAACATTTTCTACGTAAAGCAGTTTTCTTAAAATGCAAGTCCCAGACTTGTCAATAGTTCCAAAGTAGGAGTTGTTCCTGTAGAGTTCCAAAGTAGGAGTTGCTCCTGTAGAGACCCTGGCTGCAGACAGCCCCAGACAGCTGCTCCTCATTTCCTGCTTTTTTTGTTAATGTGAGAAAATACAAAGTCTTGAGCTGCCAAACAGATTTGCTTGGTCCTCTGTCTTTTAATTTTCTCCCTTATTACAGTAATGGCTCAAGAACTCTCTGTGGAGC